TAAACAATTTAAGTCCTTCGGGCCATCAGTAAGTCTTTCGAGCATGATGATGAAATCCTTCAGGTTATCTGTAAGCCTTTAAAGTAAGATGGTAAGTAATTCGGGCCATCTATAAGACCTTCGGGTAGGATGTTTTCACATGAGTTTGAAAAATAAGAAAGTGATGTTTTAAGAAAATGAAACCTTTGAAAACTAAGAAGGATTTTTTCCAAAATTTCGCACTTAGTAAGTCTTTCAGGCCATCAATAAGTCTTTCAAGCATGATGCTTAAATCCTTAGGGCCATTAGTAAGTCTTTAGAGCATAATGATTAAATCCTTAGGGTAATTTGTAAGCCTTCACGGAAGAGTAGTGAAGCAAACCCATTAGTAAGTCTTTCGAGCATGATGATTAAATCCTTCGGCTAATTTGTAAGCCTTCATCAAAGAGTAGTGAAGCAAATTCATCAGTAAGTCTTTCGAGCATGATGATGAAATCCTTCGTGTCATTTGTAAGTCTTTCGAACGAGATTATAAGTCCTCCGGACCATTTTAAGCCTTCTCGGAAGAGTGTTAGAGCAAGACATCAGATCATCAGATGTGGGAGGAAAGTGAAGGTTCTCGAGTACAAAGAAGAGGATCAATTGATTAAAAGGAAATGCACACGATGAGTCATTAACCAGTTCAAAGCCCTAGGAAGAGAGAGGTTTGACCTTTGAAGTTGAGCCTTCATGGAAGAATAGTAAAGTGAACCCGTAGGCAGAAGATTGTTTGAGTTATACTCCCTGAAGCAAGAGGGAGCGAACCCACTGGTCGAAGATTGTTCAAACAAGAGGGAACAAATCCCTCATCAACTTTTAAAGCACAAAGATGGAATTGGACAAAAACGCACTGTCTTTTTTATCTGTGCCCTATTCTTGTTAACACAAGAATGGGCAAAGAGGGGCAGCTGTAGAAACCCATTTTTATCCGGGTTATAAATATTATATTATAATTATTAATATTATATTATAACTATTATTGTTATTATTTTAACAATTAAAATTATAATTATTATTAGTATTATTATTAATATTGCTTATGTTTTTATTACTTGCAGGCTTTACATCAAGCCCATATCGAGCCCAAATGAGTCGAAACCAGCTGGAGGCCCGTCTCAAGCCCAATGGACAGCAGTTGCATGCAGAAAAAAGAGAGAGAAGTTAACATTGGTTTTTAGCAGTTTGTAAGTGGGGTGATAAGAACGGGGAAAAACAGTTTTGTAAAGGGGAGGCCCTTTTTCATTAGGAAAAAGGGATCAAAAACAGAGAAAAGAAAAAAGGAACGATCGAGGAGAAGAACCAGAGAACACACACAAGAAGGAAATCATTTTAGAAAAGAAAGAGGAACCATAGACCATTTTTTTTTTGAAAATCTGAAAAGCACAAGAACAAAGGCACGAAAAATCCTTCATTCGTTTTTTTTCTATAACAAAGCAAATATAAAAAGAGTGTGTAAATAGCATTCCTTTCCCAGGGTGTTCAAATAGTATGCAATATAACAGGGGTACCTTACTTTTTTCGAAAGCAATACAAAGCAAATTCAAAATTCAATTCCTGTAAGATTTTATTTCTATGATTATTTACATTTGCAATTTTTTATATATTTGTTTTAATAGCTTTCAATATAAATTCAAAACTCAAAACAAAAGAAATAGAGTGAGTCGAGTTTACTGTCGAAGTAGAGAAGTAGACAATCGTTGAGGTCCATTTGTCGGAGTTGTAACGTCGTCGGAGTCAAGAGAATCCCGGATTCAAACTTAGATTTAGGGCATTTTAGGTTTAGTTTCGTTCTTAGCCTATGGATCTGTAATTTTGGAGAAGATGAGGGTTTGTTTAAGACTATTAGGTCGGTTTTGGTCTCTCTGGCCACAAGTGATTGTCGAACCACGGCGATGGCATCTTTGGGTGAGTTTACGCCCGAACGTGGAAGAGAATAAGAGGGTTGAGAGATGGGAATGGCTGTCGTGTTTAGTTTAGATGTATTTAGCTTAGGTTTAAGTTTTAGTTAGGTTTTATATTAATACGTTAGGGTTAATTAGTGTTTAGCCATTGTAATTTTAGGGTAAAATTAGTATTTAGTCCTCATAGGTTTAGCTTTTATTTACACATTAGTCACCTTCAGGACTGCTTTCGAATTCTGTCATTTTGTAATTGTCCTGATTTCGTTGTTTTCCCAATTTTAGTTTTAGTTGTAATTTTTTAGATTATTTATGTTAAATCCTCTATTTTATGCGCGTTTTTATTTAAGTCCCTAGTTTATTTTTGATTTGTATGTTGAATTTTACATTTATTTAATTTAGTCATTTTTAATATGTATATATATATATATATATATATGTATATCCTCATGTGCATAACTCGACATATTACATAATTGGATTATGGGTAATACACTTTTAATTTAAAATTATTTTAGGTGGGTTGTCATAACGCATTTGAGGTCTGCTTTTAATGATTTTAAAATAAACGTGTATCACATTAGTGACGCCTAAAAATTGATCCATCACTTTAAAATTTGGGAATGAAAGAAAAAAAAATGTTCGGCTATTTAAATTTATCAAGAACATGTTGTTATAGCTTTTAAGATCTGGTATTGATATTTGTAAATAATCGAACATTCTTTATCTTTCTAAAACGATTGGTAATTTTAATTTAATTTATTTGAGTGCTTTTCAATATTATTAAATTCACATCTTTGTTTTATGGGATCAAAAATCAAATTAAGTTCAAATTTGTAAAGTTCATTGCAAAGACGTTAATTAACCAACTAGGTACCGATTTAGGGCGTTGTGGGGATGCTAATCCTTCCTCACTCGTAACCGACTCCCGAATTCGATTTTGGTAACGCATACTTTAATTTGTTGTTTTAATTTTTATTTAAAATAAAAAAATGTTTTTAGGTGCCCAATTACACCATAATCAAAGATGGGTGGCGACTGTTCGAACCATATTTTTCTATTGTAAATGGAATCCCAAATTTTTTCGAAACGAGAGGTTTTTTAAATTGCGTTTGTTTTTTAAATTAAAAATCAATTGAAAGAGATAAATTAAAGATATGTGGTTTTCAAAATTTCACTTTTTCACCTTTAAGGAAAAAATCGTTTCGACAGAATGGATATAAACTTGAAGAAAATAACCTTAATTTTTTTCGGGTTTTCAGATAATCTGAAAATATTTTTTACCTATCGTATTTGATCCGATAATCCGAAAAAAATTTCGGATACCTGATCCGAACTATTCAAAAATTAAAAAACGAATCGGATATTCAAATTTCAGATTGGATCAACGGATCGAATCGGTCAGATCGAGTTTTTTTGCACACCCCTAGTTTACATATATAGTTTATATATATAGTTCATATAACCATAATTTATATATATACCTTACAATAATTATATAGTTTATAATATAAATATAGTTTATATATAAACTTATATTATATACATTACATTAATTTTTTTAAATGAATGCAATTTACTATATTTTTCATTATTTTTTCACATTTTGCATTTATTTTGATTTCATCATTTTTTGTTTTTTATTTATTTCAATTTTAAGTCTTTCACTTTTATATGTATTTAATTTAGTCTTTAAATTTATATTTGCATCTTCATTTCGCCAATTTTTAGTTGTTATTTATATTTTTGTAATTGGCTCATAACTCTTTAAATGAGTATAATTTAGTCCTTTTTTATATTAATTTAAACCTCACATTTTAAATTTATTTTGATTTGGTCCCTTACCTATGTGTGTTGTTTAATATATATTTTAAAATTTTATTTGTAATTTTACATTTCTCCAATTTTATCCTTAAATTTATATTTTTTACAAAATTGATCCATTATTTTTTTTGCAATTTACTAGAAATCATATACAATTACAACTTGCAATTCAACAATCACGAAAAATGACAAAATAATTAATCCAAAAATAAAAACGACCGACCTGAACTCAATCCGTATCCGGTAAACATCTGACCTGAATTTTATCTGTCAATGATGTGATCCGATCTGAACGAGATCCGACTGAAGTCCACTTGGACCTGAATTAACCTGGTCTTTATCTGCTTCGGACCTGAACTGTTTTGACATGAACTGGCATTGATCCGAACTGAAAATGACCTGACCTCAACGCTATATGGATCTGATGTCAAATCAACTTGAAAATGACCCGAACTGATTTGACCTGTACCCGATCTGAGTCAAACTATCAAATTGACCTGACTTGAACTGTTCCCGATTTTACTCGACCTGCTAAGATCCGAAAGAAACCTGTCCGATTTCCTGATTTTACAGCCTTATCGACAGTGGCCAGGATAAGTTAGTTAGCATCTTATTTCAACTGATAAGTTAGTTAGCATTATAAAATAAACAAATAAATAAAAAGTTCCACTATGTGAATTTTGGAGGTAGTTAACCACATGCCAGTACAGGATATAAATTAAAAACTAGCAAGCAAAGCAGAAACAACCTCGCCAATTCCCATAAAAGCACGCGTCATTAGCAAAACTGGAAGTCCAATTCTTGCAGCAATGTGTCAAAACAGTAGCTATTGACCACCAGACAACTCCAAAGCCCAAGACTAGTTTCCCTCCAATTCCATCTGCCCATATGCCTCCGAGGATCTGAATGTTGAAAAAAAAATTATAAGATTAAAAAGATTAGGTGAATTTCTAGCATCAGGAAACAGTGAATTGAAGACCACATAGATGTTTAAGTGTGCATCAAATTAGAAGACTCAAATATGCATCAAACCGACCTGAGTGAGCAGGTAGCCCCAGAAGAAAGAGGACTGAATCAAACCGACTGTTGCACTGTTCCAGTTAAACTCTTTTGACATGGGAGTATTGCAATGCACATCTTGACCTGCAAAAGGCATGGATAGAGTGCAGCTCAGCCAGCAAACAAGTAGAAATTTATTGTAGTGCTAAACCGACCTGAGTGAGCAGGTAGCCCCAGAAGAAAGACGACTGAATCAAACCGACTGTTGCACTGTTCAAGTTAAACTCTTTTGACATGGGAGTATTGCAATGCTCATCTTGACCTGAAAAAGGCATAGATAGAGTGCAGCTCAGCCAGAAAGCAAGTAGAAATTTATTGTAGTGCTATTGTTCACAAAGAAAATTACTCACACGGCCCATATTGCATAACAGGAATGATGCAAAACAAAGAAATATAAAAACCCAGCGCTTTGGAAAATTCTGCCAGAAAGGGACCCCTTCCTGCATGCTTCCGCCAACGAGAACAGCTTCATTAGTTCCATCTGGAGATGACAAAGAGTCCACCTTCGCTTCTGTTATGTCAAACTCCTCAGATTTATAGTAAGCGCGAATCCTTTTTTTTCCCTATCCTATCCTTGTCATTTGGCTTGAGCCATCCTCCGGGCAATGGACTTGGAAGCGAATAGCATCCAAATCTTGCTCTACATCTTTGTTGAGGGTAAACTTTGCTAGACTTCTCACAGCGACTCAGCGACATTGATGAAATAAGTCGTCTGCCACTAGGCAAAATCGATAGAGGTTTCAAAGTGTTCACATCTAAATGGACAGTGTTGTGAAAGGATTGACCACATGTCTATCCAGATGAGAAACCATTTGCTTTTTGAATCCATAACTTTCCGTAAAAGATGTTCCCATGCACAAATGCAATGCCTGATCTGTCTCCCCTGTGAAGCAAGACGGCTTGCTCCCCTCGACATACTTTACCTGCCATTATCACAGTTGAACTACAAATTACAGCGATACTTGCTATGTAAGTAAACTTTCATAAAATGGCAATACTCTAAACAAGAAATCTCTACAAGGAAGAAATTAAGTAACTAAAATCCAAGGTATTGCATAAGGAGGACCAAGAAAGACGAGGCGATTACCCCGAAGTTCATGACCAGTAAAGAACTTTTACTCCACAGTTCAAACCACACCCACCTCATCCCTCCATTGATTGAAACCATTTATCACTAAATTACCAAATTCAGCAGTAAAGGAAAATGATCACAAATAGAAACATCATTTATCAACTCCGTAATAGCAATCTGCTATAGGAATAGCAGCCGTATTCTATACCAATAAAGGTGTCGTATGAAACCGTTATCTAAATGACGAGGCTAATTCCCCGAAGTTTATGGCCAGTAAAGAACTTTTAATACACAGTTCACACCACACCAACCACATCCCTCCATTGATTGAAACCATTTATCACTAAATTACCAGATTCAATAGTAAAGCAAAATGATCACAAATAGTAACATCATTTATCAACTCCACACTTCAACTTTGAAATACAAAATTGAATGGGAATACTGCACCCAATCAAATTTTCATCCACTTCAATGATTCTCAGGAATCTAAGCTACTCTTATCCACTTCAAATCCAAAGACACAATTTAAAAGAATGTAACCAGGAGTAAATAAATTGGGGGAGGGGGGAATGCAAGTTTAATTCCACCAAGAAAACTGAAAATTAAACAAAAATACATGAACCAATGAAAGAACCGAAACTCCGGTTGGAAACCAGACACCCGATAGCCATTGCTGAAGTGCAAGGTTTTACAGAGAAACAGATTTGACTTTAGAGAACTAATTACACCATTTCAATTCAAAACAGGAGCTCGAAAAGTCTATGATACGACACCAGTTTTAGCTCTTTGTACCAACGTCGTCCTCTGACGCTGGAACGTATAAACAGATATTTCTATTCCTTTTTCTTCAATAGAAATTTGCTGAGGACTTTATTTATTATTATTTTTTGAAACATCGAAGCAAAGGAGGGTAGGTAAAAAGACACGTGGCACTGGCATATCATCCTATGCGAGAATGAAGATTCATTAATACCACTACGGTAGACTTTCGGAATAATTTTTAGGTTGTACAAATTAAAGAGAACGATGACTTTGGATTGTATCATATCTGAAATTAAGTGGATTTATTTTTTTCTTAACCATCCGTGTTTTTTGGTTTTGGAAGTAGCACATATATGTCAAGTGGTCGAAATTTAGTATCTTTCAATGCGATAATTATATGACAAGTGAGTCTTTTATGAGATAACTCTGTCATCGAGCTCGAAGGTTTTAGTCTTTTCATAGTAGTTCCCTATTTACTGTGACTTGACTAATGAGTAAATTCTCTTCATTGAACCCCCTATTGCGACAAGTATTTGTTGCTACAGAATAAACCAATTTTAAAATGGGATAAGATGCTCGATAAGACATGAGTTCTAGTATCATAAGTATTTATTCGTAGGAACATCCGCGAATCTGATCAATTATTCTTCGTGCTTTTGAGCAGACATACATATATGTTGACCTAAAGCGTATACTTTGTTTGAAGTTATATATGTATTCCTCCTGTGTTTCATTATCTTTACCATAAGGTTTACCTCTCACTAATGAATTCATTAATTAATCTCTATTTTATTTATTAAAATTTATTAATTTATTATAATAATATTAACGACGATATTTATTATAATTTTTTGCGTGTCCACGAAAATTTATAGTAGGTGTGAATTCTCCCATTTATGTCCTACCATACGATCCGTTATATAAATGGACAAATGCTCTTTTCCATTATGGATAGTGATAGTATGGCCGATCATTGGGGGTATAATGGTAGATTTGATATTACTACAGGGTTTGAATTATGGATGATAGACAGGTACAATTTTATGGATTTCGTATCTGATTCAATAATCTCCTCCGGATCCTTATCCGATTCAAATTCTCTTGTAATCCATTTAAACTTTTTAATGGATTCCTCTAATGTACTAACTTCATTAAACGCTGGGGTATTTTTTGCACGGAATGGAGAAAAATCCCTTACTGCTACAACTCTTCTAAGGTGTGATACTAAAGTCATGTCGGATCTTTTTGGGTCGATTTCAATCTCGACCTTCCTTTCACATTATCAACTTTCTTACATTTATCCTTTTTTCCCGACATCTAACACAACACACATAATAACAACTTAAGTTAGTGAGGAGTGACATCAATCATATCACATTGAGACCGTATCAGTAACTTCGAAGTCCTAGTGGCATGTACACACTTTTTTACAGAAAATACACTCATTTTCAGCCAATAATTGGTTAAACTTGTAGCTCTGATACCAATAAATGTAACAGTTATTTCCCGTATACATCCCCGTACACGAGTCAGAGATGTTACATGACTTTTAAAACATTTTTTTATACTTGAAAACTAGTAAAATTTTGTTTCCTTAAACAAACGATTTAATAATATAGTTTATAAAACGTTCTTTAAATACATATACAAATATATATAATAACGTTTAAAATCCATCAAACAGTAATTTAAGTTCAAATATAATATAATACTATAACCAAGTACCAAGTATCTTATCAGAGCATCACAACATATCTAAGTACATGCCAACTAGTAATATCAAAATAAACATCTAGAGATGTAATACTGTTACTGATGAGACAATCTTTAACAGATGATATCAGATGCACTCCTCACTCAATTTTACACTAAACCTATACATGAAAATCATCACACGCTATGTATTCACTCAGTGAGGAATAATAACATAAATAAGGCATTTTAAAAAACGATGATTAAACCATTATAAGATCAAAATACGATTTATTGTAAACAATACATAAACGCATAAAATTAACTTGATAAGCCAAGTTTCCGTCAAATAACCTACAAAACAATATTTAGTATGCCCATCATACCTATCAATTGATATATATTCAAAAGCACACATTTATAGCCCAATGTATGTCAAATGAGAATGCAAGATACATGAGTTGCACATAACTGCTAAACGAAAGTATAGGTACTGTAGAAACAAAGACACTATACTAATATATCGAAATGGTAATTCACAAACTCATTATCAATACCATGCATTCACACATAGTGCCGAAAGTACACAAAGGTAATGATACAAAAATGCAACATATGTTTTAAACAAAATCGATCGATAATAATCATACTCCAAGTATATCGAAATGCACCTATGACTCTCAAAGCACATACAATAGGCCTTTAAATCAAATTCGCAGGTTAAAGATTTATTATGAAACATCGAGAACTTTTAAAACAATATAAAAGTTCATCCATTTATTTTAGGGCAGTTCATACCCTAAAATCACCACAAACCATTTTCATAAACTTTATGAAAATATTTCAAAATACGGTAAAACATGCTTTTCATGTCATTTCCTCTTTCCCCTGTCGCTTGCTCGACTTTATGATTCTGCCAAAGAACTATGATCAAAGGACTCATATTGTTATTTAGTTCTTTGACTTCTTAAGCTAAAATCTCAACCAGTTCCTCTTAATAGGTCAAATCTAATCGAATCTCTATTTCCTCTGAATGATAACATGAGAACGATCTGATTGATACTTCTTGAGCATTGACACATGAAAAACATTATGAACCTTGTCCATTTTCAGAGGCAATGCTAGCTCGTAAGCCACTGGTTTGGTTCTTTTAAAAATCTCATTAGTTTCAATAAATCTCGAACTCAACTTTCCTTTGCATCCAAGTCGCAATACTTTCTTCCAAGGTGATACCTTGAGAAATACCTTATCACCCACTTGATATTCAATCTCTTTTCTCTTTAGGTCTGCATAAGACTTTTGTTGTTTGGAAGCTATCTTGAGATTATCCTGAATGATCCCCACTTTATCTTTTATTTATTTCATCAAATCAAGGCCAACTAGATATCAATCTTTTAGCTCGAACTAATTTAATGGTGTTTGACACTTTCTCCCATAAAGGGCTTTATATGGAACAATCTTGATGCTTGAATGATAGCTATTATTATAAGCAAATTTTGCTAAAGGCAAATAATTCTTTAATGATCCCTTGAATTCGATCACACACGTCCTTAGCATATCTTTCAATATTTGAATGGTCCGCTCCAATTGATCATCTGTCTATGAGTGATAAGTCGTACTGAAATTCAATCGAGTACCCAAGGCCTCATGCAAGGAATTTTAGAATCTCGAAGAAAACTTTGGATCTCTGCCTGATACTATAGACACATGCACTCCATGTAGCTAGATTATATCTTTTATGTACAACTGAGCATATTTATCCATTGAGTAATCTGTCCGAACTGGAATAAAGTGAGATGTCTTAATCAATCTATCAATAATCACCCATATTGAGTCTTTCTTGTTAGGTGTCAAAGGTATCCCTGTAACAAAGTCATAGTGACTCGTTCCCACTTCCATTCAGGAATCGAGACCAGTTGTAACAATCCCAAAGGCACTTGATGTTCAACTTTCACCTATTGGCATGTCATACATTTTGCCATAAATTTCATGATGCCTATTTTCACACCAAGTCACCAAATTGACTCTTTAAATCTTGGTACATCCTGTTTCTACCTGGATGCATAGCCAACGGACTATAATACCTAAAAAGGAATATCTTTGTGTAGTTATTCATCGTTGGGAATACAAAGTCTCAAAAATAGTATAAACATCATTCAAACCTGACCTCAAAGTCCTTAATCTCATCATTTTCTACTTGCATAATTCTTACCAAGCACTTTTCATCTTTCCTTTGTAATTCTCTTGTCAGATCTAAAAGCATCAACTTTAACTAGACAATCAAGGTGTCGCCTTCCTTTAAAGACAAATGCGCATCCAAAGCTATCAAGGTTGTAAAAGTCTTTCAGTTTAGTGCATCATCCATCACATTAACCTTTCTTTATGATAGTCAATGATAACTTCATAATCCTTTAAAAGCTATATCCATCTTCTATGCCTCTGATTCAGTTCTTTTTTAGTCAACAAGTACTTTAGGCTTTTTTAATCTGTATAAATATAACACTGATCACTATACGGATAATGACGCTAAATCTTTAAAGCAAACACGACCATTACCAACTCCAAATCATGCGTCGAGTAATTCCTCTTATAAGTATTTAACTGCCTCGAGGCATAGGCCGCAACTTTACCTTCTTGTACAAGCACACATCTCAATCATCACTAAAAACCACATAATTTTTACCCGACTCAGGTTGTACAAGCACTAGTGCGTTTGTTAAAATCTTCTTTAGCATTTCAAAACTCTCTTGGCTCTTTTGCGTCCATAAAAAGGCATATCTTTCCTTAAAAGCTTGGTTAGAGGTAACACTATCGTCGAAAAATTCTTCATGAACCTTCGATAGTAACCATTAAGTCCTAAGAAACTCCAAACTTTTGAGATGTTCTTTGGGGTTTCTAATCCACTATAGTATGAATTTTCTTGGGGTTTACCCTTATGCCATTTTCTAAAACAACATGGCAAAGAAAAACAACTTATGTCAACCATAATTCATATTTCGACAGATTGGCGTACTACTTTCTCTCTCAAAGAGTCACTAAAATTTGATTCAAATAAAGCTAGAACACTTGAGTAATTAAATCCATAAATTTTGTAAGAGCATTAGTCAAATCGAATGTCATCACCACAACTCATAGTGTCCATACCTTGTCCGAAAAGCTATCTTTGGAATATCCTCTTCTTTAATCTTCAATTGATGGTATCATACCGAAGATCAATCTTAGAGAACATTGTTACACCTTTCAATTGATTATACAGACCATCAATCCTTAGAAATGGATACTTATTCTTATTGTCACTTTATTCAACTGTCGGTAATCTACATATACTGCGTAGATTCATCTTTCTTTTAGTCATCAGCACAAGCACTCCCCAAGGTGAAACAGTCGGTCTAATGAAACCTTGATCATGAAACTCTTGGAATGGAGCCTTTAG